AGCAACATTTGTTGCTTCGTTTAACTAGAAAGAGGATGAGAATTTGAGCTTATAAAATACGATTTTCTGTCTTGACTATGGGGGGCAGTGTATTTGGATATCTTTGATTCTCTTCATTTGATCAAGGCGGTGTGCGCACAGATTATCGAAATTTAAAATTTTTCCGTCTACATATTGTACATAATCTTTGTGAAAGTACTTTTCTAATAAAGGTTTTATGTCTTTTTTCTTTATCTTTGAGTCATTGTATATTTCTTTGAAAATTCGTTTGATGACGTCTTTGTTATTTTCAGGTGTATCAAGAAAAATATCTGATCGACTTTGAACAAGGCACATCGTAGTGAGGATGCTTGAAAGAAGTATAGCGTTGCTTAACATATTACTTTCCTTATTTTGTAAGGGTTAAAAATTTAACGTTATCCAAAGATTCCAAAAGGGCCCCAACGTTTTTCTTGGAAGGTCTCTTTGGGATAATAGAAATTCTGTGAGAGTTGCTTTTCACATTCTCGGCTAAGGCCTAATTTTTCTAAATGCCAGATTGCATCGTACCCGGCTTTCATGCCATCTCCTGCGGCAATTCCGGCTTGTCCATAGTGAATGCCTGCATTGTCTCCGGCGGCAAAAGTTTCAGGAATATTAGTTGCTTGATTGCGGCCTTTTAGGATGATGTACCCTTGCTCATCGCACGCAATTGCATGTTTATATAGCGCATTTCTTGGCGTTCGACCGATAAGACAACAACTAAATCAGTAGGAAGCGTTGATCCATCTTTTAATGTTACAGAAGTGACTTTTGTATTGTCTCCAGAAATGGTTTGAATGTTTTGATGATACAGAATTGTAAACTTCTTTTTTTGCTTGGCTATTTTTTGAATGCGTTGTGTGCGCCATCCTGTTGCTTTTAAGTTCGATCGCACTACAAGAGTGACTGATTTTGCGTTTTTCAGAGCGTAATAAGCGTGTGTGACGGCATTATCTCCACCCCCTAAAATTACAACATCTTTTCCGCTAAAGTCATGGGCATCCTCACCACTTTCAAAGACAACGCCTTTATTTGTATAGTCTTGAAGACCTTGGATCCTAGGAATACGCCATTGGGATCCTGTTGCTAACACAATGATAAGAGCGTGAACTTTTTGACCTGTATTCGTGACCATTTCAAAAGGCCATGAGTCAAAGTTAATATGCTGAATAAGCTCAGGAGTAATAACGGTTTTATACCGATCGACTTGTTGGAAAAAGCCTTTCATCAGCTTGTTCCCATATTTAAAAGGGATACCGGGCCAGTTTCTAACACGGGTTTTGATGTT